CAGTGTTCTTTTCACATGATCACTCTGACCCATTTTAAGAATACTTTTTTACCAATAACCAGAATCACCAATGTTTATATTGTCAAAGAGTCTTTCAGATGAGTTCCTTTACTTGATCAAATCAGTTAGGAAGCTTTCATTTAGGAAAAGTCACTTACAAAAAACATAGCTTATAGTTATAATTAATATGAGAAACTAAATATGTGTGTGAAAGCATTTTGTAAACTGCTAAGTGCTATACAAATAAGATACTATTCATTTTATTGGATTGAATCCATAATAGAGTGAGAAGGGTTGAGAAGAAACAGACACATATCAGAAAAATAGAATGTGATCACGGCCTCTGTGGACGAGAAGGGATGGTGTGTGAGTGAGCCAGCATAGTGCGGAAAGCTTGAACCTAGAGTGGAACTGAGGCCAGCACTCCGGACCTATAACACCTACAGGAAGGCACCAGCCCCATGTGGTTACTTGAACTTAAATTAATTGAAATAAAACAGGACTTAAAATTTAATTCCTCAGTGGCACTAGCCACATCACAAGTACATACTAGTCACATCACAAGTGGTAAATAGTTACATGTAGCTAGTGGCTTCACTATTGGACAGAGGATACATAGAACAACTCCACCACTGCAGACAATTCTAAGGTATGCACAACACTAAAGAAATAATGAGGAAAAGAAAAGATTTGAATTTTTTTTTTCAAAGAACAGAAAGAATTAAAAGAGATTATTTTATTTCATGGTTGACCATGATTTATAGCTTTCTAGTTTTTGATACTTCCCATGTTTCCTGAATTAGCATATATTATTTCAGAAGACTGTTTTGTGTTATTGTTTTTTAATGAGAAAATACAGCTCTCTCCTCCTTCTAACTTAATTCTCAGCAACTTTGTTACTTACTGTCTCTTCTATGACAACCCAGTCCTAACCCCACAGGCTCAATCTTCATTGCTCATCTAGCCAAAAATTTTCCTGAATTAAGATAAAAGTTAGATTTTTTATTATTTCTTTATTTTTATTCTTATGTTATGTGATAACCACCTCACTTCTCACTAGGTGATTTAATGTATTATCTCTGATTATGAAAGTTTTAATATCAAGTTTGGAAATAAAGTCAGATAACTTGAAAAAGAGAAAACTAGTATAAATCTTGAATACACCAACTATATAAAAATAAATTTAGCCCGGCTAGTGTGGCTCAATGGACTGAGCATTGCCCCTTGGACTGAGAGGTCCTGTTTTGATTCCTGGTCAGGGCACATGCCCAGGTTGCAGGCTCAGTCCCCAACAGGGGGCATGCAGGAGGCAGACGATCGATGTTTCTCACATCAATGTTTCTATCTCTCTTTCCCTTCCTCTCTCTCTAAAAAGTCAGTAAAAGCATATTTTAAAATATTAAAAATAACAAAAATTAAAAAATTGTACCATTTAATATATTTTTTTCTATTATACAATTATTTCATTTTATATTTCTTTTATCTTAATCACATACTTTAAGTAAAAAGATATGAAAGATGTTAAAAATTGGGAAATTGACAGAGGCAAGAATCATTAATACCAAAAACAGGAATTCCATTGACCTGCATCCTTTCTGGGTTTCACTCAATAAGAAATGTCTATCCCCACTACTCAACACACTGAAGGACTATAACAGAAAATCAGAACATTTGTTTTCATTCTTTGACATTTTCTTTTCTGCCTCCGATTTTCTGACCAAAACCCAGAAAGCAAGTCACATTGAGGAACATGACCAACCAAAGGTGACTTCACTGAGGAGAACCAGAGGCATAGATGCCCTAAACTCATTCTCTTCCTCTCTTCAATCTCCTGGTGAGCTTCTCCCCATAGCCTTTGCATTTCTAAAAAGTCCCCAGATTACGCTGTTGTTACTGGTCTGAGGACCATACACAGAAAACATTGCACTTGAATAACCTGAAGAGTTTTTTTAAAATCGCAGTACTCAGGCATGAGACAGAATTTCATCAGAATGTCTGAAAAAAAATTGTAAATGTTCTAGACAATTCCAGTGTGCAGATTAGTTTGAGAACCATTGTCTAGCCTAAGAACAAAAAATAATTATCTGGATATTCTAAATAGATGCATCTGAAATATTCAAGTACAAATCTATCCTTTGTTTTGGTTAAATATCTGTAAGTTATTGACCTCAGAATAAAACATATAATATATATGTATGAGTCTGTGTGCATGTCCATACATGTGTGTTTGTGTATGTAGTATCTGTGTGTGTGTTTGGGTGTGCATAAGTTAGCTTTAATCAATTTTCCAAACAAATGGGTTAACATTTTTAAATTTTATTCAATCGGGATATTCCAGAGGTGGCTACTCGAAGGGCCTTAAATATCCTTTCCCGTGTCTTCACAAGAAAGTGTGTCAATTAGCATAGGGATATTAGAAAGAGTTTTTAAATTGGTTAAATGAATGCTGCCTGAGATATGGGGACTGGATATAAATGTTTCTCGAAGCTCAGAAGCCCACACCGTCTAGAATAGCACTCCCGTGCCTGGCACGTCCCTCAATCTCGTGTCCTTCAATTTGCAGAGGCTCATTTAACTGAATCTGCTTCGAGGGTTGGCTAATCCTGGTGTTAGAACACACATTGTCATACCTGAGTCAACTAAGAACCTTTCACGTACCATTGAAGCAACTTATTGGTCAGAATGTCCAAAAGAGAGCTAAGACTGTACTATTTTTTAAGGTTTGTATTTTATTAACGTGAACAACTTCCTGTATTCAAGCATGGTTACAGAGTGGTTTTGCTTTTCTCTTGATCCACTGTGGTGCCAGAGCGGCTTTGTCTGGTGTTGATGCTCTGAAATTGTTTATGCTCAGAGGAGAACATGGCCTGCCTGTGAGTGTCAGGACAGCTCCTGGCAACACCACAGCCTCCCTGATTCAAAATCAGTTCCTGTCACTTTTATCAGCTATATGGAAATGGAAATCAAGGAATATAACCAAATTCAGGAGACCATGATGGCTTCCCTGAGGAACTGACATTCAAACTGATAGTTTAGAAGATCAAAGGCCTTCCATGCCACAGCCCAGTGGTTCATTTAGCCTTTTCTTCTGTTTCCTTCCACTCGTCAACAGTATTTTTTCCTGCAAGTGAATTATGCATAGAAAGCACACATCAAAGCTGGCTTCTTATGCCATTCCAAATCTCTTCTCATGTAGGAAAATACTATGACTGTGGAGTTTGTATGGGTGATACCTGTTCAAAGTTCTTGTGAGAAAATAATAATGATAACGATGAGGATGAAGATGATGCCTATTCAATTCAAAGGGTAATGTCAATGGTAAATAACACACCCAAAAACAGAACCAGAGATGTTTAAAGACATCATAGTTTATTGGATAGGAAAGAAAATAATATACTATTTCCTTTCAAAATTGTGTTTCTCATATAGAGTAGAATGTCAAAAATTGAAAGATTTAGTTTTCAAAGTTAGTGAGTAGTGTTTTATTGATACCTGAAGAAAAAGTGAGAAAGAGATATAAATATATCCCTTTTTTTTTTGCCCTCATTTCAAATCTTATTAGTATAAATGATTTTTAAAAGTTTATCCTGCTGCATAATTAGTGAACTCTCCTACAAAACTCATCTAATCAAAATTTTTCAATCTCATATAATTCCATGTTTTCAAAGGACTTTAGGAGGAAATTAAAGCTTGGGTCAATGGGATGAATATCCCAACTGCTACTAGGCTGAATGATAGATAATATAAATTAAATCCTTCCATAATCTGATAAAATTGAAGCACCCCTCTGAGAATTGGCTATGCATCCCTACTAGCAAGAGTGTACCCTGATCTTTGATGCAGAGAGCCCAGTAGGGAGGAGGATCTGGAGGACTATGCACCGAGTAATTTGGGCCATTTCTTACTACTTATCGTTTGAATATTTGTTTTCCCAGTGGCATTTTAGTCTGAATATTTAATTTTAAGGGTAAACTAGCAATAGTAAAACATGATAGATGAGTTATTCTGTATTTTTCTGGAATTCGTTTTACATCTCATACAGTCATTTTTGTTATGTTTGTTATAAGTTCAGATGTAAAATCAATAAATATCTATGAGGGCCCCTTAATTTGCAAAAAAAAAAAAAAAGAAATGTGCTGAGTACTTTCACCTCACTACCATGCAAACAATGTCACAGAATAAGTATTAATAAGCCTGGTTTTTTGAAGAACGGTTAATGAGGAACCATATTCTTCTACCTACGACATTAGTAAAACAGTCTTACTCATGGTGATAAGCTCCGCACAGGTACCTCATCTCTGATGGACAAACAATCTTCAAAGTACATTAGTACAGATTCAGAATCAATGCAAATTCATTCAGAGATCCAAACATGTAGACCCACCTAGTAGATCTCTTTTATAAATATGGAGTCTGAATACAGTTTGAACACAAATCAGCTTCATATACACTCATAAAAATGTCTGTATAATTACAGGGCACCAAATCCAGGGTACAGTATTTAAGAACCAGCCTGAGAATAAGGGACTAATCGCTCCCTAGGCTATAAAAGGACACAAAACACTACCTGGAAATCTAATTCTTTCCCAGTACAATATGAGGTCATGGGTGTCTAGAAGTTAAAGCACTCTTAGATTTCACATTTCTCTTATACTGCCAAATATTTGCCAACATATCTTATACAATCAGACATATTTTTTAAAGGTTGTAAATTCTACTAATTAAAAATGATACAACCAGTTGGAGGAGCAGCCTCCGCAGCATAAGGGCAGGAGAAACTGGCTGACAAGAACACCATACTGAGTCAGGCTCCTGTGAAATTTCTATTTTCTTTTTCCCAAGGCTCTCTTCTGCAAATTTACAAGTGAATCTTCTCAATATTTCTGTGTTTGTAAATAATTATTTTGCTATATGTTTGGAAAAAAGAATAATATATGAACATTTATTTTGGCTGTTTTATTGTGATGCATAGCTAACAATAGGTCAGGTACGATTAGTTGCTATCTGGTGTACCAAACATAAACAAACAGTGAAGCAGGCTCAAGACTCTCACCAGTTTTGGAAAACAGAGGGACACGACGGTAACCTGCAAAAGGAATCAGATCTAATTAGGACAGTACGATGAAATTAACAAGCAATGGCCCCAATAGTGCTACTGAAAAAGAATATAGCTTTACTAAGCATGCCATAGAAATTCTGACCGTATAATCATATCATATTCATCTTGTATATTAATGTTCCAAAAAAAATTAAAATATTTTCTGTTTCTATTCTGACTTCCTACTGAGGACACAGCTCAGCTTCTCCTCCCTCAAAGTGCAACGTCTCCAAAATTAGCCACCACCCTTCTGCTTCAGACTCTGCTTCCTAGGTACATCTCAGATGGTGTTAGAAAGGTAAACATACTGAGACGAGATCATTGGGAGCACAATGTAAATCAACCCGCAGGGTGACTGCAGTATATAAGCAGCCCTGAAAAGGGTCAAGAGAGGATCTTCTTGGGCTCCCTGTCTCTGCTCCGGTGGGAAGAATGAGTCATTGCTTCTCCCTTCCCCCGATTCATTTTTTTTTTTATGGTAGTTGTGCCTATTCCTAACTGAAATATAGATCTGTGACCCATGTAAATAAATGCTCAGCCCTGGCCGGTTTGGCTCAGCGGTTGGAGCGACGGCCTGCGGTACAGAGAGACCCGTGTTCGGTTCCCGCTAAGGGCACGTACCTCGGTTGCAGTTTGTCCCCGGCCCTGGTTGGTCGTGCGGGTGGCAGCCACTCGATGTGTCCCTTTCACATCGATGTTTCTCTCTCTCTCTCTCCCTCCCGCTCTATCTGAACAAAAAATGGAAAAATGTCCTCGGGTGAGGTTAAAAAAAAAAGAAATGCTCAGACATACCAAGTTTGTCTAATTAGTCTTCCTAGAGGTCCCGCACCCCAATCCCACATTTCATATGAGAACACATTTCTGTAATTCTACCAAGGGAAAACACGTGTCAGTATATAAAATTTCCTTTATATCTGGCTGTTATTGGTTATATCAGAGTTATTGGTTATATCAAAGTATGTCTTTGGTAGAAAGCTATAATTGTCAGCACGGTCATCTTACTTTTAGAAACATTACCTTTGTTCATGCATAAAACTGGCAAAGTATATTGTCCAAGAAATTCATTTCCAGTTATTACATTTTGATTTTCCACGGAAAAACGTATCATTGCCAATTCTGGCACCCGAACAATAAATGTAAATGTTTCATTCCATCTTGGACTGAAAGCTGAAATATAAAGGAATAGACAGAATCAAAGAATCATAGACACTGTTTCTAGGGGAAAATTCATAACATCTGTTCTCCAAAAATTTTCTCTTCGACACTTTAATAACATTAGCTTGTGTTTTAGAGTACTTCGATTTTTCACACCCCATGAGAAAATAATAATGACAATAACAATATTTATGGCGTATTTACTATTGCCGAGCAGTATTCTAAGAACTTTAAGTAGATAATCTCATTTGATCCTCACAACTACTGCATCAGGGTTATTACTATCCACATTCTGAGCCAGCAAGATACTACATAGTTTCCTAAGGATTTCACATTCACAACCATTACGTGGTAGGTCAAGAATGTAAATAAATGGAGTCTGATTTCAGAGCAGAAATGCTTAATCATGATGCAATATGACTGCTTTTTTAGGCATTCCATTAACAAAGAATTGAGACGTGAAGAAGCAGCACACACGATATTCCTGTACCAGGTCCTACTATGGACAGAGCTTCATGGACAGCTGTAGGACTGACGCTAGACAGTAAGTTCTCTAAAGCCAGCACCTGATCTTTGGTTTGACTAAGTGCTCATTTTTAAAGTCCAAAGTTGATGAGGAATTTAGGTCTCTAGCAAAAAAGATCATCCCATATAACAATCTCTTGTCAAAAAAGAAATCCAAATTGCATCACAATGTGACACAAATCATTCAATATTTAATCATAATTTAATAGAATCAATAAACTTACATCCAGATAAAATATAACGCACTTAATAAATACTCAGAGGTTCAGAGAGAAATAATATGTATTGTTTTTCATGGACAAAAGCAATGCTATGCATGCTATGTATATAGCGTTTGTTCTTTGACTTACATCTCTAAAAGCAATGAAGATATGAGAAAGTCTTTTGGGTTGTCAAAAAATAATAAAATAGAATAGCAAATTTGATGGTCCCAAATATAGCTTTTCTTTGACATGACTAAAAGTAATTACTTTCTCACCTTATCCAAATGTGTTCTTTTTCTTCCCAGACTCTCATATCTTTCATTACACCACCAATACCCTAGTAGCTAAGCCATCTTAGAATCTCTCTTATCTAGCTATCTAAACTTTTATTCCTGCTAGTCTTCCTCACATACATCCTCCACTCATTTTCTGATGCCACCGTCCTTCTTTATAATCTGACTTCTACGTCCTCTAACTGTGAAATTATATCCTGACTCTATTTTGTGTTTCTCATTTCCCTCTCATCCACGTCCTCCTATCTAATCTGCAGAAACAGTATCTCTAAAGCTCATCTGTTCGTGTTGTATCCCTGCTTAAAATTTTAAATTGTATTCATTTTCTACAGAAAAGAAAGTCCCTAGCACTTTATCATGGCTTTCATGGTTTTTCATGACCATCCCCAACAGAACTTTCTTATTTTATCTCACATTAATCTTTCTTAAGTACTAACCTGCATTCCACTCATCTTGAACTTCTTTCCCTTTCCTCAGCATGTTTGAATTTTGTCTTCTCCGTGTTTTAGTATTCGTATTATTTCTTGTGCCTGAAATGCTCTTATCCTCAACCTCTGTAAAAAATTCTACTCATTCTCCAAGATATCTCCAAATTTACCTTTTCTAGTATAATTCTTTGAACTTTTCTTGAAGCACTAACAACTCTTAACATAATAGCTTTATTTGTATCTCAATTCCCATACTGAACTGTAAACTCTTTATAATAGACATAGTTAGAACATACATAATAATACACTTACTAAACCAAGATTTTAAGTTTCTTCATACTTAGCATCAGGCTTTTAACATGTGGGCTCAGTAATGATTGAAGGACCAAACTGAACTTCTGCAGGAGTAACCCCATAAAACCCAAAGAATATCATAGTATTATAAGAGGTGCAGTGACTAGAACAGATAAGTTTTCTGTATACTTCGCTATGAAGATTCAAGTAAGAGGACAGAGGGTACAAGAGCTAGATTATTTAAAAGCTTCCTGATATAAGCAGACACTGTCGTCGTAATGTGCCTTCAACTCTAAGGGGTACCAATTAAGTCAGAAAGTCATCACTAATATCCTTCCCCATTGATAATATAAAATAAGGTAGCAAAACTTCCCAAATCTTTTTCCATGCTTTTTCCACCAGGGGTCATGCCAGAGGATTATTCAGAGGCAAGGGCAGGCAGATAGTGGGCATCGTAGGGGACTGTCACCCAAAAAGAAAAAGACTAATAAAACTTAACCTGCTGTTCTGTCAGTACCATTTAGCCTGGAGCATATTTTCAGACTCTGAAGTGAAGTCCACTTAACTTTCGGAATATCAGCTCAAAAAAGATTCTGGACTCAATGATCAATCAGTTCCAAAGTTCCCTCCAAGGTGATCCTGACTAAGGGTCAATACCAGGAAACTCTACTTTTCTAACTTCCTTAATGACTTCAACCTCAGAGAAGAAATGACAATGTCTTTACTGTGCTACATAAAATAGCATGAGATGCTGGAACACTGAAAGTTTCACAAAGTCATTTCTTCCATTCCTACATTTACCTTCTGGCAAAAATGACTGAATTATGAATCCAAATATCATATGAGTGGGTTTCTGTGGCAGCCTTAGCTTTAGCCAGAAGCCACAGACCTTTATCTAAACTAATTCAAGCAGTGAAACAAAAATGTATAGCATACTGTACCAGAATAATCACAAGGTCTTTATTTTACACAGAGGCTAGAAGCCAAGTAGATTTGCAGCCATCAAAATGGCTCTCTTAATTTAGTGATATTGGAGAAAACATAAAAAGGAGGTAATAATGGGAAAAAAAATAGCAATTTTTCAGGTCAGGTAAATTACTGTGTCTGTAATCTGAAAATATATATAAATAACGCTTTAAATTATTATCAAATTGCTTTTGCTGCATATAACAGTTTCATCATCTAGAACCAATGTAAAGCCTTTGCCTTATGAATAATAAATATGTATCAAAACTCTATCAATATACAATTTTTAATCTTTCCAACAAGAAGTCTAATAGAAGGTCAATAAAATATATTAGGAGCTTACCATTTTTTTTAATTACACGAGTCTGATGTTTAATTTGATCAATTGGAATACCAAAAAGTTCTATAATCACTAATGTGTCAGCCTTGTTAGATGATGAATGATAACTGGGAGGCAACTGGATACCACTGATAACCTGCGCAAAAATATTTCAATACAAGAATTTAACAGAATGTCAAACTGCATCACCATTTAATTTCAAAATAAAATATGTATTCCAAAAAATTGACTGATTTTAAGTTAATTTCCTAAAAAAAATTGAAAGTGTAAAATAACGCAAAATTTAAACTTTAACTCTTCTATCCTCAAGTATCAATAGTTGAATACCAGAAACATGTCTGAATTATTCCATTTTACCAATATATGATTATAGTAGAATCCACATTGTCCAAGGTTTATAGTTCAACATGTGTTTCTGTTTTTAAAGTATTTGCTATAATTTAAAAGTATTACTTAAAAGCATTGTTATGATCACCTTCTACTATAATGCAGGCTGAGTCTGGTAATATGAACTATTTTCAAATTTATATTACATATATACAGCAAAAATTAGAAGCAACAACAATACTACTTCTAAAATGTAAGAAAAAAGTCATAATCTTCTAGATAGCATTTTATGATAATTTATATGTTTACATAATTTATCACAAATTTTATATTATTCATTGTTATCCACACTATCATAAGTAACCTGAGTCTGACAAAATCCAGTATTTCATATGCATATTGAGAGGGGGTATCAGAAAAATATCTAATAAAGTAATTAATAATAGTTTTGCTTAGCCTTTTATTAGCTAAACTAATTGTGGAAGCAAAGACTTGCTTTACTTTAAGGGTCAAAGTTTGAACAAAAATCAATATTTGAAGTGTACTTAATTTACAAAATGTACTGATGTAAATATTGAAACATGATTTCAATTTCTGAATATTATGATAAAGTGAAATAAAAAAGTAAGCTTGAAAAGAAAAAGAAAGAGCAAAGAAAAAGAAACAAAAAATATGTCAATGTGTAATTTTTTTCTTCTACTTCCACACATTATAGCATTAGCTAGAAACCAGAGTAACTGCAAATATTTAACGAGCAGCATGGAACGGGCATCAATCTGTCAGCATAATTAGACACTAAGGCAATTAGAAAGAACATTGGCCATAAACAACTAGTACACCAATACCAGTGCCTACCAGCTGAATATCAGCTCTGCAGATAATAAACCCTTACCAATATGGAGAAAGTTCTCTACCGGAGCACCTCAGGTCAAAAAGAAAATTATCTAACCAAATTAATAACAATAATTGAATATGAGAACTGAAAAAGAATTTAGAGATTGTTGTTCAAATAATGTATACACTCTAATTCACAAAGCTCTTCAAAGGGCAACTCGCAGAGGTAAATGTCAAACAGAAAACCCTGAGTAGCCAACCAGAGTAGCTCTGTTTTCATCTCTTGGGCTTATGCATGAGATTTGGAACTTAAAAAATGGCATCATAGTTTTTATAAGTTTAAAAATAACTTACCTAACTCAAAACTCTTAGCTTGCAGATGACAACGAGTAAACCAAAATGTTGAATGACATCATCAAAGGCAGAAGAATGCTAATAAAAGTAGGTCTTTTGATTCCCAAGTCATGCTCTCCACAATTTGAGCAAGTCATAATGTAATCAATCACAAAGCTCCCTAGAATGATCAAAGCAGGAGGAAAGGCTCCCACCGCTAAGGCAGCCGCTTTCTGGGAAAATCATTAACCTGTCTGTTTCACACCATGTCACTTATAACCCTACAGGAGACCTCTTATAGTACAAACAGATGGCATCTGTAAACATCTGTGCATACTAGCTATCTTCTATCTTTGCTTTCTCAATAAAAGAGCATGTATGCTCTCTTCATTATTGTCAACATGAAGAAGAAATCATTCATTCAGTTAACCTACATGTACTGAGCATGCACTTTGTGTCAAGCACTGTGGATAAGGATTGAACAAAATGCAATCCTTACCTTGAAAAGACTCTCAGCCAAGTGAGAGAGAATGAGTACTACAAGTAAATTAACAATTATAATACAGGGTGGTAAGAGCCTAATAGATGGATGCATAGGGTGTTATGAAAAAAAAAAAAAAGCAGAAGGAAACTACAAAGTGAAAGTGAAGCACAATTAAGTGTAGGTAAAAGTTTCCAAAAAGAAGTGAGTGTTATCTTTAAAAAATGAGTCAGAACACAGCAGGCAGGTGAAGACCAAAGAACAGTCTAGTCAAAGAAAATAGCATAGGCCTGGAGATGTTATCATGGACAGAAAGGCTCCCTATGGTTACAGAATAAGGTGAAAGACTGGAAGTGATGAGAAATGGGGCTAGAGAAGTAAGCCAAGGCCCAACTAAGAAAGCAATCAGGAAACACAAGTAAATATTGAGTATGATAAGGTTGGCATTGTAGTAAAATCTCTCTGGTAAACTTGTGGAAGATGAACCAAGACAACTAAGACAGGTTACCTGAAAACACCTTAGGAAGCCAGAAGAACAGATGTGATAGCAGATAAGAAATTCCTAAAATAGGACAGCAGCAAATGGCATCAGACCAAGGGAATGGATAAGGAAGACATTTAGGAGTAAGTCCGTAGAATTTAGAGATGGGTTGAACACAGGAAGTGAAGGAGATGTGGAAGAGAAGAATGCCTCCCAATTTTTAAACCTGAGTTACTTGAGTAAACGAGTTCAACTTAATTCACTGAGATTTAAATAAAAGTATATTCGACTAGAAAAAAAAATGTTCAGACTTTTAATATTTTAAGTTTGGCAGAACAGTGATTAAATTGGTAGGGATGCTAAGTAAGCTATTAAAAAGGTACACTTTATTCCCAAAATGAGGCCAGATTAAAAATATGAGCATCAGTGGTGGTTGAAACCGTGAATGTATATAAAAGGACACACGGAGAATATTTAGTTTGAGGTGAGGATTAAGAAAAAGCTTTAGGCAAAATAAATATTTTAGTGGAAGTAGAGAAAGGGAAACCCACAAAAGAAAATGAGAAAGAATTGCTTAGGGGGTAGGGAAGAAAAAGAGACAGAAGAGCCCCAGAGGCCCAGCGAGATTTGGGTACAGTAGGAAGGGATCTTAAAGGGTGGCTGATCCATCCCTTCTTCTCACTAGAACAAATAAACTGGTTGCTTAAAATAACCAGAACAATGCAAATTTTTGCCTTTTTCATTCATGCAAAAAGGCACCAGACATTTTTCAAATATGGAAGGATGCTGAAATAGCACCCACCTATACTACCTACAAAGATGAACAGAAATTTAAAGATATTAAAAGAATTCAATGGAGCTCAAAATATTAATGAACTACTTAGCTTATATAATAGCTAAAAAAAAAAAAAAAGAAATGGAAAAGTTATTCATCTTTGTAGTTTTAGAATTAAAGTTACAAAAGGGATACCAAAGTTAAAATAACATTGTAAAGTAAGCTTAATGCACAATACTTTGCCAGATTCTAGAAAGAGTGCCAACTAATCGACTTGGGAGCATATCCGGTGCTATCGGCGATCTCTACCTATCCATTAGATGCTCCTATTCCAGAGTCACAAGATCCCTAGCAACCAGGAAAAAAGTCAGCTACGTATTTCGCTGCCACTATTTCCTGCGGTGGCCAGAATCATTTTCATCCCATTCATCTTTGCTGTACCCTCTTCTCAGGAAAACAGCTCTTAAACTTGCCATTCTCAGCTGAGACAAAATGGCTAGGGCCTGACATGGATGAAAGTGGCCTCCCCAATTCAATGACTTTACGTCAGGGTGGGGAGAGTAGTGGCAAAAGTGCAGTCTGGAGGTTCTCGTGTTTCCTGCCCCTTGACATCCAGGTAACAGTAGCTCGAGAGCTTTCTCCTCAGCCAGCAGAGCCAATAGAGAGTGACCCTTAGTCATTACATGAGACACAATGAAATTGACCAGGGACAGCAATATAAGTACCAAAATTCCAGAGTAGAATCTGAGATGGTTCATATGGTTCTAAGAGCAACTCCTTAAATAGAGAGAAGGACCAAAGAGACCACACCCAATTTATTTGCAAACTGGGACAGATACAATTCTGCAAATTAGAAGTGCTTCTAATCAAGGGGAGAGAGAAAGCTCAGGATTTTCAAGATCTGGCGACATTTTTAAAAAGGAAACAAAAATAACACTTAAATTATAAAAGATTTTGTGGGAAATAATACATTTTAGATAACTACTTATGCTCTCTGAAATCACAGACGATGAGAGATGGGATAAAATACTAGTTGGGGGAAGGGTGCTGGTAGAATTAAAAGCAAGCAATGTGAGGTAAATAAAAATTGGGGGGACTAATAATGCAGGTGAAAAATTCACTTCTACATTAGAATCAGTAAAGAAGGAAAATGATCAAGTTGACATGAATTAGTAAACATGAAGAGAAGATACTCAAGGAAAGCATATGAATACTTTTAGTTTCTAAGTAATCAGGAATATTCAGAGGCATAAGGGGGGGAAATTCTGAACTGTAGAAGTCTAATTCTGAGATTAATGAAAAGCAAATAGCTCCTAGAATTTTCTAGTAAAATTCCTTAAACTTAGGAAAAAACAACATATTCACAAGGCAATGAGTGAGCTGAACTCAGACTTCTCTACCACAATATTAAATGCCTAAAGACACTGGAATAATATAAATAAACTTCAGAGAGAAGAAAGTTTTAGCCTCAATGTTTCCATCACATCATTCATGCAAAAGTCAACAGAAAGACATATAAAAGTCAACAGAAAGACATATTTTGGATATGGAAGGATGCTAAAAGACCAGCCACGTATAATACCTGAAAAGATCAACAGAAACTTAAAAGGCATTAAAGGAAATCAATGAAACTCAAAATATTAATGTATATTATCTAACATATAATAACCAGAAGAGGAAAAGAAAAGGTTATTCGTCTTACCCTTATTGTAAGTGTAATTGGATTGCTGTCCTCTGGTGCTTTCCTTGGGTTAAACTCTGTTTCAATATTTCTTAGGAATTGTGGTTTCAAAATATATCCAGAGTTACCATTATCCAAAAATTTTCCATTTTGAATGTCCATAGGCAAACCAGGGGTCTGGAAATTTAGGGCCACTGTGAGAAAACAGTATTTTGACATTGTCAGAAAATAGAGGGAATAGCTAAAAAATGTACCTATCAGATAACATCCAGTGAATATGAGAATAAGAAAATTCAGTACATTAAATGAAGGAAGGGAAAACACCTACTATTTTCAGATCTAAAGCGACACTGTTATCACTTGAGAAAATGAGAAAGAGGCAGAGCAATAATGTTGTTAAAATATAGAAATACATCCATATAAGCTGGTAAATATTCACTATATGCAGTACTACCCTCCACCCCCAACACACCACCACCACCATCCTGACCCTTCTCTCTACCTCTCTGCAAACCTATAAGCTTTGCTACAATCCAATAGCAGAAGGGTTAACACCTGGCACTTTCTGACTGGTTAGTGCCAGTGCAATACCAGCTGATCAGGAGCGTTGGGTAAGGACAAATAACAAAGCTATGCAATGTCATTTACTTTTCAACTCTGAATGCAAAAGTTGGTGTAAAATATAAAAGATAGAGGTTACTTAATTTGAAGAGGCCCTTAGTAAATCTTTCAAGCAAAGAACTCTCCTCTTAAATCAATTTTGGTTTCCTTCCTATACTTCCCATGCTAACCTTCATAAATTTATTCCGTGCCCCCAACTTTCACCTAGATATACCCTCTCCAAAATGTTTAGGAATAACTTCAACCCAATGATTCATCATTATTGCTTGATTGTAAAACACCCAGGACCAGAAAAAATCTTCAAAAGAAGCTCTTTTCAAGAATCTTTCATTAATTTACAAAATTCACTTTATCTTATCTTTACAAAAAAAACTTAATATCCTATATAACATACCCATTTGACAACCTACATTCCAAAATTCTTGAGGATTAAAATTAGAAGAGTCTGCTCTTGTTGCTTTGGGATATATTCTGGTAATGAACTTTGTGGTGTGACGAATAAAATCATGAACTAAAAAATAAATTATTAAAACATTGTGAAAATTGTCAAATAAATTTAATAAACTACTTTATTATATTATATAATTCTACAATAATTTCAATAATTCCTATATGTATTGTCTTGGCAAAAATATTTTTAATTCACATAAGTCAAAATAAATCCAGTATTTATGTTTGACAGTGTCATTCAATATTATTGAGAAGGTAATCATAATTTATTACACAATTTTATGCACACTAATCATTCACTTGAGAAAAAATAATTAAATAACATATTTGGGTTTTTTTTACATCCAAAATAATTTCACTTAAACATGAAATTCCAAAATAAAATACATTATCTTTTTTAAATAAAAGTAGTTTAATTCTACATTTTACTTTTCTTTGGTTTTCACACTAGGACTGAAACACATATAAGTCATATAAAGCTACATAATGCCATACAAATTAACCCAGTTCAATATGTAATACATTCTCAGGGTTGAAAGGGACCTTAAAGTTAATTTAGCTGCCAATCCAACCACCTCCAAATCTCCCCCCAGATTCATTCAATTTCTGTTTTCATCCTTCCATTGAAAGAGAACCCGCTGCCTCCCAATACTTTTGATTATTTCAAATGTTTTCCTTACAGAGATAAGGTCTATACTTGTAGTGTACAAACACATCGTCTATTTGAGTTTTTATACATATTCTTTGTTTCTACTTATATATTCTTTATGTTTCTATTTTTATTTTTGACACTTTATTTTTAAATTTAAACCATTTTATCATTTTTTGTTTTTCAATTACAGTTAACATACAATATTATATTATATATTATTGAATATAATATAAAATATAATATATAATGTTATATTATATTATATTTATTACTTATATTATATTATATTATATTATATTATATTATATTATATTATATATACACCAGGGCCAGGTTTATACCTCAGTGATTGGACATATGTAACTTACTGAATGATCATCCTTATAAATCATGTTCCTATCTGACACCATACATAATTATTAAAATTTTATTAACTATATTCCCTTTGCTGTATTACATCCCCATAACTCTTATAACAACCAATTGGTACTTCTTAACCCCTTCACCTTTATATATTTTATTTAAATCACTTGAGATGCAAAACTAATTTATACCTTTTACCACTGGACACCCCTTCAAATTTCTGAACACAAATTTTACGTTTCTCCAAGGTATCTATTCTTTCACTAAGCAGATCCTATTCTCACAACCATTCCTGAGAATATGGTGACCAGTCAGGGAAACAGTTAATGCTTATGGCTCACTATGTTTGCTAGTAAAACTAGAACAGAATCATTGCCACCCTCATCCTGAATATTATTCTTTAGGAAGTATTATCAAGTAAAAAATTAGTTACTGATGTTAACATTAATTACAGTTAATTTCATCAGCTTTCATTTTTAGAAGTTATACACTGTTTGAAACAAAAGTGTATTTTGAAGTTACTCATGTATAAATGTACCATGTGTATTCTAGTAGCATGATCCCTTATCCAGTCCTAAAGTAGATGTTCATCTTTAGAGAAAACAGGTGCTCTTCTGGGTTTTAATTTTTCCCATCTACAAAGTGATAAACATGAATAATCACTAAGGTCTCTTCACATAATGCAATTTTGTTACTTCTGAGATTAACCTTTAGAAATTAAAACATGCCATGTTATTAGAAATGCAATTCATGTTCACTTTAGATAAATGAGAAAATCAAATCTAACAAGAAATAAACCCACAGCCCTGGACAGTTTGCTCAGTGGTTAGAGCATCAGACCATGGATCAAAGAGTCGCGGGTTCGATTCCGATCCAGGGCATGTATCTCAGTTGCAGTTCATCCCTGGCCCTAGTTGGGGTCGTATGGGAGGCAACCAATCAATGTGTCCCACTCATGTTGATGTTTCTCTCTCTTTCTCTCCCCTCTCCCACTCTATCTGAAGATAAATGGAAAAATATCCTCAGGTAAGGATTTAAAAAACAAAAAGAAAAAAAGAAAATCACATATCTCTTCACTCAATTAATAAACACTAATAGCATCTTGGTATAAATCTTTCCATTCTTTTGTCATATGTACATACTTATTTTTAATTGAATTATATTGTTTATTTTCTTTTATGATCTTCATTTTTCACTTACTAAAATGACATGAAAATCATTCTACTTCAATAATATCCACCTACTCTATTATTTTTAATGACTAAAAAGTATTTCTATCTATGAAAATTTCTTTCTTATTTTTTCTTATTATAAATATGTTTATTATGTTTTTAATAATGATGAACACCTTTGCCCATATCATTAATTATTTACTATTGACTTATGATTCAAGAAAAATATTTTATACTCTTTCCAAAGAAATGGTCATCCTACATTTTATAACTCTACTCAGAATTACCCAGTTCCTTTTCATCATTTAAACCAGAGTCTCACATAATGCAAGTGAGAGAATTATTACTACTTTTGCAGCACCCCGAGACCCTGTCCCCACGAACAACAACAGAAACCTTTTGGTCGTTTTTAAAGGACAGGGACTAATAAAGTAAGTCATTCAAATTCAAACTCTTTTGACCAGACTTTACAGTGAAAAATATATTTCATATCACAACTCAACACATACAATTATAAATAAAATAATACTTGTTCTTACTATATACAATATACTCTATTCCATTCCACTTTGTTGTGTTAACTATGTCCATACCTACTGAAGTGAATTTTGATCACAATCTGCAATTTAAAAACAAAAAGGTCCTAAAATAACCAGAGTCTCACTAATAGGTAGTTTAAAGATATGAGCTAAAATGTGCCTCCAAACCCTTGGGTACCAGTGGCCAGACTAATGAGGTCAACCAACAAATATATCAGAATCCACACTTCCAAACAGCCCACAGCTTTCTCAAGTCAGTTATAGGTGCTTATTTGCATGCCATGGTGTCTTTACACAAAATGGTAGATTTCTAGTTCTCAGAAGGAGTTGGAAAATCACCTACTGAGTTAATGACCCATTCCTTTCAAGTTGAAGGTTTTCCCTGCCATATATGTCTAAGAAGAGGACAGGGTCTGCTTCCCATTCTCTTTTCCAGGCTTTGTTGAGTCTCTGGCCCTACCAAACAGAATAACCTATCTCAGATATAGAATCAGAACACAGATAAAAGAAGATGCAAAGACAAATGTCCCTCTACAGGTGTGCTGCAGCAGTGCACATTCTGAACAGCCACCTGGTAGTCTGGTCTGGGTGCAATTTCCTGCCTTTCTTTCTCTTCAGACATACAGCCTGCAGGTCTACTTAACTCTCACACCACAAGCCTCCATCTCTTCCCTGTAGGCAGTCCCACTCTTATGCTGCTGTAAGAGGCATCATACAGAAACACCAGGGATCGTGTAACTCCTGAGATTTCAATCTTCTCCTGCTCACCTTTTATTTCAGGACAAAGTTCTGGTTACTTGTAGCTGCCTTGCCACTCTCTGCCCTCCCATATAAACTCCTCACCACAGCCCACCCACCCAAGTGCCCACACTAGACATTCTGAATCAAAATTTCACTATTTAAAGAAGTTGATAATTGGTTGAGTTCTATGAAACAAAAACTTAATATACCTGAGGCACTTGACCTTTCTAAAAATTACATTAAATATGTTTAAATTTTATGAGAATGTACTTTTTATAAATATCATTAACCCATCTTGACACATTAACAGTGAATATAATGTTGAAACATTTCATCTGTTTGAATCATAAGAATTTACCTCTCAACTTGGAAAGTCTTCGAGCTGTTGACTCCCCAATAGAATTACTTTCATTAAATTGTTGATACTGGCTTGAATACTGAAAGTTTCTGAACTTCTCAGCTTTAGTATAAATTACAAGATCAGATAGGGCCACAGCTACTTTTACCTTTGTGGTATAAAAATAAAGTAATAATTTCACATTTTTGCACTAATAATAAGAATTTTTTTCCAACAAATGTTTTCAAATCAATGATTTTGGTCCTTTCATAAGATTATAGCCTCAAAAACTATTTGAATTGGGTCATTGTGGATATTTTTATGACAGTATTTAATGTTAATATGAAAGAGCTCAAACCTAAAATCCCAAATAATGTAGCGAGAATTGAGGATGGCAAGTACTGTTATTTTGTTTTTCCAAAAGACATCAGTGTGTTCTCATGAATCTACACAGTTAGGATTTTTAGTCATGAGTAAGTCATATTTCCAGGATGATCTAACATTTTGGAATAACTTCTACTGTATAATGTACATCAGCTCTTTTACAGCCCTATGTCTACATCCTCTACACTTCTGTTAGCCTCTTTCCAAACTTTGTTTTGGAAAAACATTTCACACTTTTGCTAAATCTATGTGCTTATCTATCGATAATATGAATTGGGCCTAAGTGAAGCTTTGCCTTCTCATAGCAAAAGCAGTTGGCTAAGGAATGTGCATAAATGGACCACAGCCTGTGTACAAGAAGAATTTGCTTGGTCAGCTGAGAGAAAGGCCTTCCACTGGATTTGAACCCGAAAGCATATACAGCTTTGTAAAGTCTTACACCAATATAGAGGAAGTGAGGCTCAAGTTGGAGAAAAAAAAAATAAAGTTCTGTAGACTTGGCTTGAGAAACTATACCAAATCATTCCTGAAAGTACAATCCTTTTCCCTAAACTTTTAATTTATGTGAGCCAATTAATTAATTGGGCCAAAACATTAATTAATTTTACTTAAACCAGACAAGTTAGTTTTTGTCACTTGCAAGCTCATGTACCTTCTTATGTCATGCTGATTTGCATACATATAATGCTATATTTTATAAACAGAGATTTTTTTTTAATCTCTGACAGCATGCTCTCCTTGAGGGCAGAGACAGTATGTTGTTGTATCTTCCATACACTGCACAATGCCTAGTACATAAAATCACTGTGAAGAAGTGTAAAAACAAATAGGAAAAGAGATACCTTTTTAAAATTATTTTCCACTGCTAATTTTTTTCAAAAAGAAATTTTTTAATTATAGACTAAACTTTCTAGAAGGAAAAAAAAAAAAAGATTTTTCTCTCCAAAAAAATTTCTAATTCTCCACCAATAAGAAAATAAAACAACATTTCAATCACTTATAAGATTTTCTCAAATCATGATCTCACCTTCTTTTTCTTGGAAACTGGTAATCTTTGAATTTCTGGACTGTTTTTTAAATTATCCAATGATGGTGATTCTTTGACTTTGTCCTCTTCCTCGTCTTGATCTGTCTCTTCATACTCTTCATATTCCTCCACTTGACCGTGCTTATCAGAACCTTTCCTTGCATAGGTTTCTAGTAAGCTTCCTATTTTTTTGTTTCTGACTAATATTTTGAATTTTAATGCCTACAGGAACAATTTGAAAGACAGATACAATTATACTTCTACAGTTTTCATTTTAACAGTCATTTAAAAGTCTTTCATCACATTTTCAATTAGCTCACAGTAGTAAGATACATAAGAGCTCCATCTTTTTCCATACCTCTTTAAATACCCTAATAGACACCAGTAATATTATGGTATTGATCAAAATTCACCAAAACATAGGCCTGTTGTCATTGGGACTTGCTGTAGTTACATCTCTTTTACATTCCACAAATTGCTACTACTTGAAAAATTTGAAATACATGATAAGTGTGTACATATACATATATTTTTAACATACATATGTGAAAATACTTGCAATGTTACAAAAGTTAGACTGTCACAACTTCTGGTAGTAAATGCTTCAGGTCATCCCTTGTTTATCTAATGATAAATAGTATTAAAAGAGATCAGGCACATAAAAATGTCTATTGTCGTGCTTGGCATTCAGTATAAACTAAATTTAAATTAAAGATGTGTAAATGTGCTTCATATTTCAACTGTATTGCCTACAAGCATCATCAACTTACTATTTTCTGCCCATCAAAACTAGGAGCATGTCAAAATTCATCATCAGGGTCACTCACTCTAAATCCAAAGCTTCTGGTTCTCATCTTTCACTTAGGTGTTTATGCCCTTATGAAATATTTATTAAATAACAAATATACTTACTAAGTGTCTGTATGTGATACACAATGCTGCTGAAATCTGGACTATGAAGTAAAGCTCTTCAGGGAGCTTTGATTGACCATTCCCTTTGTCATCCTTAGGTACCCATTCCAATTACTTTGTCATCTCAGGCCTTCTCTCTTTTACCATGACCTTCACATTACTCTCTAATACAGTGTACTCTGCAACTACAGGTATCAAAAGCATCACCCAGATGCTTGTTAAAGCAACATATGCTGCTGGCCAGTGTGGCTCAGTTAGCTGAGCATTGTCCCTTGCACCAAGAGGTCACCAGTTCAATTCCTGGTCAGGGCACATGCTGGTATTTCGGGCTCAATCCCCAGTAGGAGTCATGCAAGAGGCAGTCGATCGATGTTTCTCTCTCACACTGATGTTTTTCTCTCTTCCCCTCTCTCTTCCTCTCTCTAAAAGAAATACTTTTTTTTAAAAAAAAAGAACAGATTCCTGGGATCTACTTTAAAATTAAAGACTCAGAATCCTGAGTTCTGGGACTAGCATGATGCCTCTTTAACAAGTCTCTAGGCAATTTGGGGGGGCACTGAAGACTGAGAGCAGTATGAGAAAATGATTTTATCTCTACTTCCTCATTTACTCATTGGAAACCATTTTCTTACTTTAGTGTGGAAGCAAAAACTTCAGTGAAAACTATTTATGCAAAAGATAAAAATAGATTTATAAATAATAGGAAGAGGAATTCTATTTCTAGAAAGCTAAAATTATTATAATTTACTGAATTAGATCATGATTCTTAGATTAAATCTTTCATGATGTTGGCAGCACTTTGCATAAGTGTTTATTTTCTGTCACAATTGAACAAATTTAGTCTGTGAGCATTCTCACAAGGTGGAAGTTTTTTCTTATGTTCAATTTTTTTCGTCTGTCTCAATTCTATCATGAGCCCTATACTTCTTGTCACTATTGTCAAAACACCTTCATCTTTAACTGTTTCACGCATTTCAATAAAATAAGGAAACATGTAAAGAGGAATATTCAAATATTATAAAAATACTGCTCTGCACGAGAATGATGACATATCAAAATTAAACTATTCGTTGTTAGACAACACTATCATGCAAAAGAAAAAAAAGTTCATGTATCATCCAGTAAAAATTGGGGCCAGCAGAGGAAACTAAGAAGGAAAAGCCAGAAAAGAATGAGGAAAACCTCAAGAATGGAGTGTTACAGAAGAAAGTGTGTTAAGGAAAGGAAGGAGGCACCCACAGTATTGAACGCTATCGAGGGAACAAGTCAGATAAAGACTGAAATAGGTCCATTCGAATTTATCAGTAGAAAAGTCTGATGATCAAAAGGAGATATTTACCATGGTGCAAGTGGAAGAGGAATCCTGGTTAGGTAGGTTGTGAGGAGATGAGAAAATGGAAACTTGGGTTGAGACGGAATAATAAAGAAATAGCTGGGGGACAAACTGAAATCCTGAGGATAGGGTGGGGCGCTTATTTTAAACCAAATACTTGGGTATGATCAACTAAAGATGGAAAGGGACCCAGAGAGACAGTTAAATTGAAAAGAGCAGATTAAAATAAGGTGCTGAGGTATTGGGCCTGGACTGTATTTGTAGATCTTTACCTCTTTCTTAGCCTTTTGCCTATAAAACATACCAAATTTCTGTGGCCTAATATTAATTGACTTAAAATTTTGGGTTCATGAGGTGTGACACACAACAAAAAATGTGGATTTTTACATATATCTCCATATATTCTCTTTTTTCAAACTATATTCACCTAAAGGTTCATAGAAAGATTTTCTAAGCAACACATTGCCAAGATACACCTCTATAAATAATCAAATCTAAGCATTTTCATTGATCTCTAGCCCCGTTTCATGAGCCACTATAATAATGACGTTCTTTTTCTTTTGTTCTTAACCTGAGCTTCTCAGATAAAATGTTACCTCTGGTGAAGGTAGTTTGTCTGAAAAATCATCAAGTAGGTCAGAAAGCAAGGTATCTCCCAAAATAGACTGCAGATTGTCTGCCATCACTTCTTGCTGGGCAGGGGAGCAGTGATTTTCTAAAGAGAGCACCACTGGGTAGTCAGATGCCTAAAAAATTAACCATTACTACAGTTATTTCTCAGAACTCCTCAACAACTTTAATGCAATTCATATTTTAATACTTCTAATGTTCAGTACCTTTGCAAAATAATTAAGTATTTTTTAAACTGAAAATACCTTCGAGTTTGACAAAACAGGGAACATTAAATCTACATAAAAAGAAAAATGATCGCTATTTGCAATAGAAGTATCGGAAATAACTGAAGCATCCAACAGTGAGTACTTGTTTAAATCGGTTATGGCATATCTGCTTAAAGGAATGATATCGATCAGTTAAGGAGGAGGCACGGCTATGCATACTGCTATAGCAATTAATCTATACTGTAGTGTAGTCTCATAAAGAAAACCACGTTGACAAAGAATGAGTCTACACTTTTAATTTTCAAAGCACATATATATGTGTGTTTATTTAGACATTTTTAAATGTGAGGAGAAAAGTTTAACACTGATAAATTAAGGAAAATGTTCATTTTCTACTCTTTTGCATTTTAGATTCTAAACTCAAAACTCATTGCTTTATACTTAAAAACAAAGATAAAGATATTTCTAGTTTTTAATCATGTAGAAGATGTATTAAAATAAGGGTGGCTCTGCGAAGATATTTTCTGCTCTTTCTCACCACCGTAAAATTTTGAAATTTGCCACAAAATACAGAGCACTCATTTTTGAACCTTATTAAAATTATTTTGTTTCCACATATGATAATCAAGACACAAATTTACCAACAAGCCGGGAATTACAGGGCCTGCTGCATTATCCCAGATATTGAAATAGGAGATGTATTATGCCTTTTTAATGTACGAGTATCTTAGTTTCTTATGGCCGCTGTAACAAATTGCTACAAACTTGGTTGCTTAAAACAACAGAAATTTATTCTCGCACAATTCTGGAGGCCAAAAATTTTGAATCCGTTTCACTGGCTAAAAATTTACTACAAAGTATCAACAGGCTCCAGGGCAAATCTGTTCTTTGTCTCTTTCAGCTTCTGGTGTTGCCAACATTTCTTGGCTTGTGGCCATACCTCCAACCTCTGGCCCTCTTCTTCACACTGTCTCCTCCCCCATGTGCTTAAAATCTTCCTCCATCTCTCTCTTATAAAGATACATATAATAACACTTAGGGCCCACACCAATAATCCAGCACAAAAAAAAATCTATCTCCTCATCTCAAATTCTTTAGCTTCATCACATTAGAAAAGACCCTTTTTTAAAAATAGAGTGACATTTATAAGTTCCAGGAATAAGAACCTAATTTATTCAGGGGCCCATATTCAGCCTACTACAATATACCTTCTCATATGTTCCCACATATACACACATATATAGACTCATTTGAAAACTAAGAGAACATGTAGCCCTGGCCGGTTTGGCTCAGCGGTTAGAGCGTTGGCCTGCGGTCCAGAGCGACCCGGGTTCGGTTCCCGCTAAGGGCGCGTGCCTCGGCTGCAGTTTGTCCCGGGCCCTGGTTGGTCGTGCCAGTGGCAGCCACTCGATGTGTCCCTTTCATGTCGATGTATCTCTCTCTCTTTCTCTTCCTCTCTCTCCCTCCCACTCTATCTGAACAAAAAATGGAAAAATGTCCTTGGGTGAGGATAAAAAAAAAAGAGAGAGAGAGAACATGTAAATTTTTTCCCAGAAAATAAATAGTAATTTTGAGACTAGGCAAAGTGATGGCCTAGCAGATGGATTTCTTGATTCGGGCCTGACTTCATTCACTGGGGAGAGTTCATTTTTCTGGCATCTGTGATGGTCTTTGATTCCAGTCTCTGGAAATGTCCTCCTGTCCTTTTCCTCCTTGGCCACATCTGAAGTAGGTGTTGCGGAGTTTGCTTTCCTTGCAGCTCACTTCCTGACCCAAGGTTGTTTCAAGGCTCACCTGAGAGTCGGACTTGTGTTTTGTTTTGGTTTTGACAATATAATTATTTTTAAACTTAGTTTTCTTATATATTTGCTTCTGGTAAGTTACATGTGCCAGTACCTATAATGAAAAGTTCTTTCCTGATTATAGTACTAAGTCTCTTTATTTCATTGCTATCTCTTTCCCATATTAATGTTAGAAAGTTCAACCTTCAGTCTAATCTTTGCTGCAAAACTGGGTTACCCTGTTCAGTTGAGAAAGCTCACTGAGTTTTTGTTGCTCAAAGCCGTTTTTTCATTTTGTCTCTTTCTCTTAGGACTATCTTAGAAGCTTTAGAGGTTTCCATCCTTGCAAGGCTTTTGCATTTTAAGATTGTCTCTATTTCCTTGGTTACCCACCCTAGATGAAATGAGAGCTTGCTATACAAATATTTGGAAAAATTATTTCAGTTAATATTGCAAGTTTAAAAGCTTTGGGAGGTGTCTGAAAAAGAGTAAAGAAGCCAGAATAGACAAGCAAACAAGAGAGAAAGGCAAAAAGATCAGAGAGGTAACAGAAAACAGGGAGTGTAGGATTTGGGGAGTCATAGTATGGATTTTAGCTTTTATTTTGAATGAGATTGAAAGTTTTGAGAAGGGGAATGACATGATCTGATGTTAAAAAGTCACTCTGGCTGATACATTGAGAGGACACTGCAGGGAAGGAGGAAGAGAATAAGGAACATTGGATAAGAAGCCACTGCAATAAACCACGTGAGGGGAGATGGTGGTTGATCGGGACAGTGCAAATGGGAAGGGGAAGAAGGGATTAGTCAGTATATATTTTGAAACTAGCGCCAGGAGGACTTGCTAAAGAACTTATTGAGAGGTTGCAGAGAATGAGAAGAGGGTTCAAGTCGACAACAACGATTTATTTTAGGCATGAACACATAGAAGTTACCATTCAGAAATTAGGAAAACCACAGAAAGAGTAGGACCGACAGAAAGAGGAAGATCTAGAGCTCAATTCTAAACATATTATAGTAACTATGCTATTAAATATGCAAGTAGAATGTTTGTACTTGTCTGTACTTGGGTAGAGTTCAAGGGAGAAGTTTGGATAAAGATATAAATTTAGGATCATTAGAAATTGTATGTTTAAGAGAACCAATGCCATACATCAATGTCTTAGATTAAGAAATTTTTTATATTTTATATTTTGTAAATATTTAGAATTTTATATTCTATTTCTAAAATATAGTAGAGCAATTTATTTAAATTTGTGATTTAAAGTTATGTTTGTGTTTACAGAAAATGTACTGACCTGTTTAGGAGAACTTTAAGTTTATCAAATTTATAAGTTTATTAGACATACATTAACTATTCAGTAATATTATGTTAAACCTCTTAAATTTTACTACAATTAAAGAACTTAAGAAAGAAATCAAATATATTAAGTCAATGAAAGCAATTTAAAATATCTAAAGGTGCTTAATTAGCCAAGTTTATAAACGGGACCAAGTAGTATTCAAAATTGAGTGATTGTTAAAACCTACTCAATATATAGACTAGGATTTCTAAGCTGACTTTAGAAGCTCTAGAAAAAACTTCGATCTTTTTAATAATTGAATAGTAATTTTAAAATCCAAAATAAACTTCTAAAAATTTTTGCTATATAAATACTTGCCACCGTAGTCATTAAAAAATGTCAACAATTGCCCTGGCTGGTGTGGTTCAGTTGGTTGAGCACCATCCCATGCACTAAAATGTTGCCAGTTTGATTCCTGGTCAGGGTACATGCCCAGGTTTCAGGCTCAATCCCTGGTGGACCTGCAGGAGGCAGCCAATTGATCTTGCATGAATGTTTCTCTCCCCTCTCCCTTCCTCTCTCTCTAAAAACCAATTTTAAAAATGTCAACAATTGAGATAATATATTTTATTTTTGTGTCTTAAAAGTAAAATAGTTGAATATTGGTAAAATATTTACTATTTTATAGAACTACTATTTTGTTGAACAGTATTTCTCAAACATTTTTGACCATACATTAAGAAATATACTTTATATTGTGATGAAATAAACACACATATTATATATATATATACATATATATAATAAATGTATATTAAACAAAAAGTTCCATGAAACATGTACCTTACTTCTTGAGATTAACTTTGATAAATTTATCATTAACTATATCCTACATGAATTTCACTGCCTACTAATGGATCATAACCCACAATTTGAAATATCACTAATCTACACTAAGGCCAAAGATTACTGGATTTGGAAACACATAAATTTTATTATGTTTAAAGAAAATTTAATAAAGATACGCACGTACTATGAATGCATATTTGTGCACTGCTTGGATTACAGTTTTAAACAGGAGTTTGCTGGTGAATGTATAGCCATGGTATACAACAGGCTGATTTTGTGACCCATCCCAGCAATCAATTTCCAGACAACGGCATCCTTTCACAAGGGCACTAGCAAAATTGAAACAAAATAAATTGTCATTTCTAGATCATTATAAAGGTCAGAATATTCCAAAGACTGTAATTTTGCAATAAATTCGTCAATGAATCCATAATAAAGACAATTTGTTGTACTGAACTGATTACACTTTTCTTCTTATTTTCTGTGAGCAGGCCTGGCGTGGAACTACTATGGGACACCGCAGCCCCAGCCACGAGGGTGCAATGGGCAGAGCTATGGACTCTGAATCTGCCATTTCTAACTATTATTTGTGCTTTAAGTTCTATAAGTCTCATAGAAAATGTTTGATACATAGTTCACTATTAGTAAATAGTTACTCTGTTTATATTAGAAAAAAATGAGAATTATAGAAATGTAAGAAGAAAATGGAAGGCAGACAGAAGTGATCTCCTAAACCGTTTCAGCAGAGAGACGAAGGAAAAGAGGCTGATTTGAAACACCAGGACCTTAGAATTGATACTCATGCATCAGAGAGAAGATCTAAAAAGCTCCCCTGCCATATAAGGAGATATTTAGCACTTGTTTTCCAAAAGGAATATTAATTTAGCTTGTTGTCTTCAGGCCAGGGGTTCTCAGTCGGGACAGTTCTGCCTCCGGGGAAACAGTTGGCAATGTGTGGAGATATTGTTCGTTACCATAACTGGGGATGGAGGAGAGGTTTCTAACTGGCATCTAGTGGGTAGAGGCCAGGAATACTGGTAAACAAAGAATTATATGACATAAAATGTGAGGAATTTGAGAAATCTTGCCCTGAGACATAAAAACATGGAGAAGAGAATGTGGTCCCAGCACAAAGGATTTGATGTAGAATCGGTAATTCTTTCTAAAAGAAATACAGAATACCAAATAAATCTTACACAAAAAATAGACTTTTTAGATCTAGCACTTTTGGGGGATCATTTTGGTCAAATTTTTAGGGAGATGATTGTAGCAGTATTTAGGTAAGAGTGGAACTGTGTAAAGATAAAGCAATTATGACACTGAAGTCGTGTGCTGAATTCAGGAAAAAAATAAAACAGAACCTTATGTCCCCTCAGGAATAATATAGGTGAAAGATGGAAGGGAACCGAGCAAGCAGGGCATTAAAGGGGAAGAGAATCAACCGATTATATCTGAATTGGAGGCTTCGCTAAAACAATATGAAGTTAAATGGTTAATAAATATTTTTGAGGATTTAGGGGGTTGTTTTTAAGACCACTTTTTTCTTACTTTTTACATGCACACTGCTTTATTCAGGCATGTAGAGATGCACTATAATGTAAAATTTCAGAGCTTTTCAATGCACCTGCCTCAGTGTTGGAGGAATGCACTTAGGAAATCTTGTTTGACCCATAGATATTTCCATGGGTGAACAAGGTGGCTACCCAATTGTAGGTACAAGTCCTGAGATGAGCTATATTTGTAGAAATCAAACTAAATATATTTCTCAGCTTGTGTATTGCTTTATGTATTAAAATTTTAAAGTGTAGAATAATCAATATCTATTTGTAAAGTTTGTTCATTTCCATGAAAGAATGTTTGCTTTACTCTCCCTTCATTTTATTGTGCTGCCATACCGAATATCTCTTCTCTGGGGTGCTAACAGAGAATAATCTTGAACTCTGTTAGGAAAACAAAACACAAAAAAACTACCAAAAACTCAGTTGTGGAAAGGAACAATCTACCTCATACTGATTCTGGTTACTTGTCTAGATGGTTTTGATTCATCCTTACATCCAACCAACTTTACCAAACTGCTTATTTGGACTACATGATATGCTGCCCCGCAAAAATTATTTGAGTTATTCAGAGGTATGTAAGAGAAAGTCCCCTCCAGCAGTGAAGCCACTTTCTACTATTCCACACTTACTCTTCTTTTTGGGGAATGGATAACAAAAATTTCTCTCTCACTCAGTAAAGAAATGCTCCACTTAAATAAGTTGAATGGACTTTATATGGATTAAAATATTTAATGCTAGTAGGACAGTTAATATTAACTTTCTTCATTTGAAGATGAGGAAATTGAGACACAGAAAGGTTATATTTGTCACATAATTAACAAATGAGGAAAAACAAGGAAAGATCAACACCAGAAACTTAAATATTAATAGGTAAACATTACATTACACCACCTCTCATGAGTAGAGAAATTTTAAAAGACATGTCTTCTAAGAGTATATCTTCCACAGGTGGGTTGAGAAACAGAGGCAGAAATGCAATTAATTTAAATTTAAATATTTAGTTGGGTGGAACATAGTCTTGGAATTCAAAGGTAATTGTCTGTATTTCTAAATCAACCTGTTTACAATTTATATTTTCTCTTTTTAAAAAAATAAAATAATAAAGTATAAATAGAAATTTCTATTATGAAAGTATAGCTACGAGTTGGGCTATTCTTACAGAATTCTAAGTGCATACACTTCTGACTTTGTGAAGTTCTGTATTTACCTAGAATTTAAATTGGAGAAGCAATATTTATTTGTAAATGTGTTCTTTTCATGGAATTATAAGTTATTTTTTCTATCTATGATTTTCCTAAATTAATATCATCCAATCCCATAGATTTTAATATCACCTATATGCTGATTACTCCCAATTCTCTTTTTCCAATCTGGATATTTCTTCTAAATTCCAGACTCATATACCTGACTCATATACATGACTAGCTGACATGACCCTTTGATGACTCAATGGTATCTCAAACTGAATGTCAGAACTATTGACCTCTTACTTTTGCCTCACATCCTACAATAGTCTCCTCTCTCAGGCTTCACGACCTCCATCATCGTATTATCATCTTCTAAGTTATCAGGCCAAAAATACTGATACTGTCTTTTCCCCTCAGACCTCTTTTCAAATTACCAGGTGCATCTTGTTGGCTCTTCCTCTTTAAAATATTTCAAACTCAACCACTTTTCTCAACTGCAACCTCATGACTTCACCATCTAAATAACCATCATCACCTGGACTGCCACAGTATCTTCTCAAATCACCTTCTACCTCCACTCTCACACCATCAGTCTTTCCTCCACAGTAAAATGCAAATCAAATAATGACATTATCCTAAGGAAAACCCCTCCAATAACTTCCCAGTGCAACTGGAATAAAATCCATTTTCCTTGCCACTCTCTCTAAGACCTCCTAAACTGACCATCTACCTCCTTAAACTCACCTCCCTTCATTCTCCATTTAATTTTTCAAGCCACTTGCTGTTTTTCATTCAAACATGCCAAGCCCTTATTATTACTTCTACTTAGCATGCCCTTCCTACCTGATTTTTCTGACACTTCCTCTTTATCATCACTCAGACCACAACGATGTCACCTCTTGAAAAGCCTTGCCTGAAACTTCAGCTAAAGTAACACCCTCTACCCCACAGTTACTTTCTATCACATATCTTCTCCATATGACTCATCAGTCCCTGGAAATATCAATTTGTTTACTTGTTTATTATTTGTCTATTTCTATGAACAGATAAGGGGGGCAGCTTTGAAAATGTTGCTCAGCACTGTATCCTCAGCTGGCTGGCTAAACTGAAGCCTGGTATTAACAGTATAATACACTATAGAACGCAAAATTAGAGGTGTAGCATAGATTGCTTTTAATCCATGTAAATAATTTGACATATTAATCTCTATATACTACTATCTATAAATGCCATATTATACAATTTACTCTATGTGTTGGCTTCACGCGTAGCATTGTGTCCTAATGTCTGAGAATTCATTTTAACCATCTTTTTTCAATCTAGGATGCTAATCTAGGATGTTATGATTAGCTAAATAAGTCTTCTTCATATGCTTCCTATAAGAGGTATTAAAATTATTCAGGAAACTTCAGAGGGCCAGTAACTGAGAAAAAGGGGTCAGCAGGCAAAATTAGAAGGAAAGTGGATGATACTAATACATAGAATATATCACCCAAAGGTGGATCTCCAAGATATGCACAAATCAAAATCGTTCTTCCCTATGTGATTGCCTAACATGCATAACCTGCTTTTACTGTGAATTACTATCGATGGAAGTAGATACCAGCAGGAACTTTCAAGTATTTTAAAATATAATAAATTTAAAAATCAAAATAAATACCTTACATATCCCCAAATGTCACTTGGTCCCACTAGTTGGTCAGATATCAGGTATGTATTATGTGAACTTGAAATAAAATAATCATTTAGTGGATGATGCATATCTTGATAAACTTTTTCAAATTCACTATTAAATAGTAGACACTCAGATGAATAAATGTATCTTATAAAACCTTCAACTGACATCTGGCTTTCTTGCTTAGCTATAAAAAAAAAAATTAGTAAAAAGGTTATAGTAATATCATTAGCAGCATAAAAATTATATCTCACTTTAATACTTATTCGGTAATAGAGCATGTTTCTAAAATATTCATTTAGAATTAATATTAATACTATTTTTAATTTGTCTTAAGAAACAAATTTTTCTAGTCAGTGCCATTAATTCTTCTGCATCAACACTAAAGTAGATAATGGATTACTTAATTATCTGTTTTTTTGTGTTTTTTATGTTTTAAAAATGTATAAAAGTACAAATGTCATAGACCAATGAATTTCCACAAGCTAAATATCTAGGTAACCAGCACCCAAGTCACAGATCAGAGCATTACAGCACACAAAAGCCTTCTTCTTGACCATTAAATCTCTCCCTGCCTCAGCTACTCAAGGGTATTCAATAGTCTGGCTTCTAACAGTGTATATTAGTTTTCTCTTGTTTTTTTATCCTTACCCAAGGACATTTTTTACATTTATCTTCAGACAGAGTGGGAGGGAGAGAGGGGGAAGAGAGAGAGAGAAACATTGATGTGAGAGAGACACATCGACTGAATGCCACCCACAGGACCCCAGCCAGGGCGGGGACAAACTACAACCGAGGTATGTGCCCTTAGCAGGAACCGAACCCCAGACTCTCTGGTCTGCAGGCTGACACTCTACCTGCTGAGCCAAATCAGTCTGGGCAGTTTTCTCTTATTTTTGTATTTTATATTAGTGAGCTCATACAGTTTGTATTTTTGTGACTGGTTTAATTACTCAACATTGTTTCAAAATTTATTCTTGCACAAAATTATGCATTGCTGTTCCCTTATGATATAGTATTCCATTGAGTGAGTACATCAAAATTTATTTATCCATTCCATTTTTGATGAGCATTTAGATAATTTCCAGTTTGGGGTTATTACAAAGAGTGCTGCTATAAACAATCAGTAACTGTGTTTTGGTAGAAATATGTACCCATTTCTTTTTGGTTCATGCTTAAAATTGAATTGTTGCATCATTTGCACATTACCAGCTTCAGTAAATTCTCTCTCAACTTTTATACATAGTATAATCTACACCAAAATTATTTATTTAAGCAGCACACTGGCTCTGTATCAGACAGCTTCGATTAAGTCCATTTACTTATTATATAATAAACATGTTAGTTAACCTCCTCTTATGTTTGGAATGATGGTAATAATAGTGCTTATCCCATATATTAGCTCTAATTTAGTTGCAGTTGTTTTTGTTGTTGATAATTCAGTTAGTCACAAAATAAGAGCTGGTGTGAATATTCACTTTAGACTAGAGAGTGCCCCTTAACACAGAATTTTATTTCCAGGAGTGTATACTATAGAAATGGAGACTCAAAGATCAATGTGCAAGAATGTTCACATTACACAAGAACAAACATACAGATCAATGGAACAGAGCAGGAAACCCAGACATCAAAACAAGACAGTATATACAATTAATACTCGACAGAGAAAGCAAGAGCATACAATGGAGAAAAGACAGTCTCTTCAATAAATGGTGCTAGGTAGGGGAGGGAAAATGGCGGTGGAGTGGATGGAAGCTACACAGATTGCCTCCCAGGACCAAACTGGAATTACAACTAAAATAAAGACACATAGTTGGGGAAACCAACTGAAAAGCATCTGGAGAGAACCCATACAACTAGGGACAGAAAGAGGATGTCGAATCGAGCCTGGTAGGAACTGTGGAGGTGCGTGAGGGCTGTCTGGAAGCCCATGGACAGCAGCAGAGAGCTGTATTCGTGGTGAGTGCTTCCCACTGAGAAAGTGCAGGTTTTAAAAAGCACCAAATCAGCTACAGCCACTCACCTTGGGCTCTGACAAAAGGAAGGCAGACTGGACTGAAACTGTGTGGAGAGAGTCCATGTCTCCTGGCTCAGGAGAAAGCTGAAAGGGAGGAAACTGGGAGTTTTGTGCTGAATCATTTCATCACAGGACAGTAGTCATATTACTCAAAAAGCCCCTTCCCAGAGCCCTGGAGAGAAGCAACAGCCCCTCCCGCAAGAATTCAACACCACCAGAGCAGGCTAGAGAAATGCAAACTGAGGCTCATTAACATCTAGACTCTGATAGCAAGCAAGTCCCCCACATGCTGAAAATCCCTCTTACACTTGAGTGATTTTTCATTCAGTTGAGGGCTACAAATCAAGACTCATCAAGTAACTGAAACTAATAGCCTCCAGGCAAATAAACTAGAGGATAACTGAACTTTTTTCTTGGCTTGCAAATCTATCCAGGAAAGTAAGGCTTAACAGTGGTGTTTAACATGGGTCCTCCCACACTCATCCAAACCCAGTAGAGGGAGCCACAACCAGCAGAACACCAACACCCACAGGAAAAATTTGGCAGGTTCCTAAAGCCACTGAGACAGCCAAAATGATGAAACAAACAAACAAAAAATCCCAAATAAAAGAACAAGATAATTCTACAGGAAATGAAATAAAATGAAGCAAGATATCAGAGGGAGAGTTCAGAATAATTATCATGAAGAAGCTCAGCAGCATGAGTAAAACTATAGAAACATTGAAAACCAACCAATTGGAAATGAAGAATGACATAGCAGAAATAAAGAATACACTGGAAGAAATAACCATCAGAGCAGAGGAAGCTGAGGACCAGATCAGTGAATTAGAAGACAATGTAGAAAAAAAATCATCCAATCAGAGAAACAACAACAACAAAAATAAATTTAAAAATTTGAAGACAGCCTGGCTGGTGTGGCTCAGTGACTGAGCATCGATCCATGCATCAAGTGTTCACTGGTTTTATACCCCTTCAGGGCACGTGCCTAGGTTGTGGTCCAAATCTCCACTGGGGGGAATGCAGGAGGCAGCTAATCGATATTCTCTCTCATCGATATTTTTATCCCTTTCTCTTTCTCTTTATTCCTTCCTCTCTCTCTAAAATTAATAAAGAAAAAAATTTTAAATAGAAAGACAGCCTAAGAAAACTGTGGGACTATATGAAACATAACAACATCCACATCATAAGAGTGCCAGAAGAAGAAGAAAATGAGAAAGGGATAGAGAATATATTTGAAGAAATCGTGATAGAAAACTTCCTTAGCTTGGTGAAGGAAAGGGGCATACAAGTTCAAGAAGCACAGACAGCCCTGGCCGGTTTGGCTCAGCGGTTAGAGCGCCGGCCTGCGGTCCTGAAAGACTCGAGTTCGGTTTCCGCTAAGGGCATGTACCTCGGTTGCAGTTTGTCCCCGGCTCTGGTAAGTCGTGCGGGTGGCAGCCACTCGATGTGTTCCTTTCACATCGATGTTTATCTCTTTCTCTGTTCCTCTCTCTCCCTCCCACTCTACCTGAACAAAAAATGGAAAAATGTCCTCGGGTGAGGAAAAAAAAATTAAAAAAAAGAAGCACAGACAGCCCCAAGTAAGAAAAACCCAAACAGACCCACATCAAGACACATAGTAATTAAAATGCTATAAATTGAAGACAAAGAGCAAATCCTAAAGACAGCAAAAAATAAGAAACAGGTTACCTACAAAGGAACCCCCACAAGGCTATCAGCTGCCTTCTCACCAGAAACGCTACAGGCCAGAAGGGAATGGCATGAAGTAATCAAGGTCATGAACTCAAGGATCTCAATCCAAGACTACTCTATCCAGCAAGGTTATCATTCAAAATAAAAAGTAAAATAAAGAGCTTCCCAGACAAAAAAAAAAAAAAAGCTAAGGGAATATATTAACACCAAACCAGCACTGCAAGAAATATTAAAAGAACTGCTGTAATAATCAAAAGAAATAGGAAGAGAAACATAACCAGGATAAACAAAAATGGCAATAAATAAGTGCATATCAATAATAACCTTAAATGTAAATAAATTAAATGCTCCAATCAAAAGACACAGAGTAGCTGATTGGATAAGAAAGCATGACTCATATATATGTTGTTTAAAAGAGACCCACCTGACAACAAAAGACTCACATAGGTTGAAAATGAAGGGATGGAAAAAAATTTCCAAGCAAACTAAAAGGGGAAAATAAGCTGGGGTAGCCATACTCATATCTGATAACATAGACTTCAAAATGATGGCCATAACTAGAGACAAAAAAGGCCACTACATAATATTGAAAGAATCTATTCAACAGGAGGATATAACCTTCATAAACATATATGCACTCAACAAAGGAGAACCAAAGTACATTTAAAAACAGAGGACTTCAAAGGAAAAATCAATAGCAATACAATCATAGCAGGGGACTTTAACACCATGCTGACATCACTGGATAGATCCTTTAGACAAAAAATTAAAAAGGAAACAGAAACTTTAAATGATGCACTAGATCAAATGGATTTCATAGATATCTACAGAGAATTACACCCCAAAACTGCAGAATTCACATTGTTCTCAAGTGCACATGGGTTATTCTCAAAGATAGACCACGTGTAAGAACACAAACTAAGTTTCTACAAGTTCAAGAAGATTGAAATCATTTCAAGCATCTTCTCAGATCACAATGGCATAAAACTAGAAATCAGTTACAACAAAAACATTCAAACACATGGAGGCTAAATAGCATGTTATTAAACAATGAATGGGTCACCAAGGCAATCACAGAAGGAATTAAAAACTTCCTGGAAACCAATGAAAATGAACACACAACAACACAAAAGCTATGGAATGCAGCAAAAACAGTCCTGAGAGGGAAGTTCATAGCACTACAAGCCTACCTCAAGAACAAAAAAAAAAAAGTTCTAATTGACTTTCTAACCCTACAACTCAAAGAACTAGAAATTAAACAAAAAGAACAACCCAGAACAAGTAGAAGAAAAAAATAGTAAAGGTCAGAGAACAAATAAATGACACAGAAACTAAAAAAAAAAAATTCAAAAGAACAATGAAACAAAGACCTGGTTCTTTGAAAAGATAAACAAGATTGATGGACCCTTAGCCAGACTTGCCAGGAGACAAAAAAAGAGAGGACCCAAATAAACAAAATCAGAAATGAAAGAGGAGAG